CAGCGTTGAGTAATGTATCACAGACATATCTCATGAATCCTTTCATAAGCAAGTGTAGACAGGGTGTAAATAAGAGATTCATTGCGCAGTGTAGAGAGCTTCGTTGATTATAGATGTGAGATCGAGATGAACTAAGATGAGTGCCAGCTTTTAATGATTTTTAAAGGAGTTTGTAAATGTGATACTTATTTAATACAATTCAATAAACAAGAAGTTAATATTAAGTGACTTACATTGTCTGACTATAACACTATTGTCTGATTTTGCTCCATTTCGTCGTCGAAAATAGTTTAAAACAAAGGCACAGTGGAGCCGCTGCGCATCTCCATTCAAACACTGCGGTGTTTCGTTTATGAATGAACGGGCTTTTTTAAACAAATCTAGTGAGTCAGTGATTCATGATTACCCATTCATAAATACTGTCACTTGCTTCATTCCTGAATGAATCAGCCGTTCGAATGAATCAATTGAATGAATGATTCAGTGATAAAAATCAGTGACTTACCACCACCTGCTGGCAGTTTTAGTTTCATTTTTAAAGTATCTTTTCAGTTATTTAAATCATTTAATATTTCTATATTCAAAATTTTATATTTAAAACATTAATATCATCAGAAATTTATGGATTTAATTGCACTCATTCCACTTCTGAGCCTCATTAAATGTCTGAAAGTACACCAAGCCACTTTTGTGTTCTTCTGTGCCACCTCTACAAATTAATTTTGTTAATACTGATTTAATTTGATTGGTAACTTATATTTCTTATTCTACTTGTTCTTATTCTGTCGTTTTAATTAAAATTTTTAAAAAGCTTATAAAATATACTTTTTTTTGAGAATTTGACAAAAGATGACATACTTTTAATAAAGTTAGAGGAGTCAAATATCACCTCGTAATGGGAAGGCTACTTTTCGATAACATTTTGGATAATTGTTTAGAAGGTGCTCCTAAAATTTTGAACGTGCTCCTAAATTTTTTAAGTTAGGAGCACAAGTGCTTCTAAAAAGAAAAGTAAGCGTAGAGCCCTGGAATAGGCTCAATTTAAAGCCCACTCACACTCTCTTACGAACCACAAGCATTTAGCCACGTCTGCATCTCTGTCTCACCTTTCTTCGTGTCCTTCTCCTTCTTAAAGATCTTCCCAGTCTCTGCCATGATGAAAGCATCTCCTTTCTCACAGAGGCTGAGAACTGAAACTCCTGGTTTGGCAGCATCGATGACGACCCTCAGCGCATCTAAAAAGAGAAGAACGAGACCAATATTTATGGGCAAAAAAAGTCCATTGTCTATAGGGTTTTGATGTTAGGCTCACAAAGACGTCACTTTCAAACCAAGCAGCTTTCTGTTGGTCAGCATGGTGAATGTGCACGACCAACCTGAACCCCTTGCAAAATCTGCACGGGAAAATCTTTTGAGCTTCAAAATGTTATTCAGAAAACTGAAAGGAGTAATACGCACACTAAATGAAAGTCCAACTAACCCTTCTAATAACATAATTGGTCAGAGTCATCTAAATAAACAGGCTTTTGAAAGGGAGAAGCAACATTTATAGTATGTTTTATTGCTGATGTCAAAGGCTGTGCATTAATTCAAACTGAACAGTAGGACATTTCTGTGCAAAAGTATTGCTCACTTGTTAGAAACCATAATCAAATTAGGCATTTTCCAACATGGACTGGTTGTGTGACATGCTTTCATCCTCAACACTATACAGTATCAAAAAATGACCCAGACTACATTAAACAAGGCTTGCATTGAGAATAAACATGCTTTGTGCAAATAACAATGGCTGCATTCGAAATTGCACACTTCCCTGCTATACAGTATGCGAACTAGGACTGCACGATAAATCGAAATGGAATCGAGATTGTCATGCGTATCTTTCAGTGAAGCACGGTTCTGTGATCAGCAGTAAATCTCCATCCAAAGGCCAGAGGGCGCTCTCACGCTGAAACTCCAAATACGCCTCGCAATCTGCGTCTGCGATTTTTTTGCGTAACTTGTCAGTGAACTACGGCTATGTGTAGTAAATTCTGCTCCATCTGAAAGCACGTGATGATGATTTCCTGCTGATTACAGAACCGGCATTACTATCAAAATGCGCATGACAATCACATTCGATTAATCGTGCAGCCCTAATGCGAACATAGTATGTCTGAATTCATAGTATTCATAAAATATCAGGCAACAAGTACCTGGATAGCCTATTTCCAACTGAAGTTCACATCCAGTGGACACTTTACTATCCCATGAGGCCACTGGAGAGCATTTGTAAATGCCAGTGAAGTGAAGCAACTGATGCTGTTGGGTCACATGACGATGACAAAACTAGGGCTGCAAAGCGATTAATCGCGATTAATTTATTCAAAATAAAGTTTATGTTTACATACTATGTGTGTACTGTGCATATTTGAGAACATATTTTACCTTAATATATATACGTTTGTGTATTTACATATACATAATAAATATACACAGTACACACATATAATATGTAAACAAACTTTTATTTTGATCGATTAATCGTTTTGCAGCCCTAGAGAACATACTGCATTCATACTATAGAAAATTTTTTAATGGTTGCAAAATTCTTAAGCCTACTTGTTTAAAACAAGTACCACTTACTTAGTGTGCATTTTTGAATGCAGCTGATGTTTTGCACTGATTATTGCCTGTTGAAAGCATGAAACCACATAAATTCGGGAGGTATTTAAGGGGTGGTCACACCAGACTTTAAGCACGCTAAATTTCTTCAGACACTACAACAGTTGTATTCATAGATTGTGTTTTTTTTTGGGTTTTTTTTACAGGTCATGCTGTGACGCATCAATCTTCTATTGGTCACACATCTTCACGTGACACGAGCTCAGAGGTCAGAACACAGCGAAATGCTAAACTTCTTCACATGAGCTTGTGTTTACCACCTCCAGCATTCGCATACATTTGAATAGAAGCGAAGGGAGTGAAAGTGCAGTTTGACACACATTTAGAAACCATAATGGTTCAAGATGTAATGTAAACACTTTTCTTAACATCAGATTTTAGTGCAAACTTTTATGCAAAAAAAACAAACATTTAATTAGAGTCCTGAAAGAAAACCAGTTGAGAATCACTAATAACAGATAAGATGTGCAAATAACAGGTGCTTGAGCTTATATGAGGGAAGAAACTTCTCATTTGAAACTAATATAGTCTAAATAATAAAGTTTGAAACAATTGTGGCATAACTAAAAGTACAAAACCTGGAATCACTGGAGCTCAAAGAGTACTGCACGACCATTCAAGTTCACCGTGCAAAAAAAAAAAAAGACAATGCTCTAGACTGCTAATGTCAAAAGCCCTGTCAGCATCACCTCACCAGCTAAAGTTCACCTCCATGCTGTTCACTCCATGTGAGAGCAACGCTGACAGATTGGATGTGAAAGCTCTGTCACTGATCTGCCACAGTAAAGCAGCAGTGGACATATTCATCCAGACAGCTCACTAATAACCCGTGCCTTTGAGGACTAACCTCTACCAGCTGGCAATGCCAGAGCCACAAGTGTCCACTGACATGCACTGCGGGCTAATGCTAGCTAGCATTAGCTCCAGAATGAGTCCCTCCGTTCTGTAGGACTGCAAAAAAGTCTACGGGCTTTATAGACATGTACAAGAGGAACAGCTATGCATTTAAAGGAGGTCTCAAGCGGCTGTATGCTGCGTAGGCCAGGGCATCGGGGTCTCGTGTCCCACGCCGCTCATTGCGTCCTAACACATGGCATGCGTGAGAAAGCAGCGTGGAGGCCCGTGTCACCGACTCTACACCTCCAGCACTCAAACGTCAAACTCACGGTTGGCGATGTCACCGCCCATCTTGTACTTGGTCACGACCAAGTCCTCGGCGATGGTCTGCTCTTGCTGCTCGTCGTCTGACATCGTTGCACCGGCTTCCGAAGCGTTTCTCTGGCTGTACGATGAGCGGACAGCAGAAATCAGTCACGCTACCACCAGGCGGCTCGCCGACCGTCCAGCTCCGCCCACGGCCTCCACGCACAGCGTAGCCACGCCCACTACGCAGCCGCATCACAGGGGTCGTCCTATACGATGGCGCCAAAACCAACCGAGGCTTCTGGATGTTTTCCAAAAAAGGGCACAATAGTAAAATTTACAATACAGATGGTTTCAAAGCAGCTTCACAAGTACTAAACATGAACATAACTTTAATTATGAAACGACTCTACAGATGACTATAGTTTTATTATCTAACTCAATTCTGTTCAAGTTTTTGTGACCCTGGACCACAAAACTAGTCATAAGGGTCCATTTTTTTTTAAAGTGAAAGCTGAATAAATAAGCTTTGCATTGATGTGAGGTTTGTTATGATTGGACAATATTTGGCCGAGATACAACTATTTGATAATCTGGAATCTGAGGTTGCAAAAAAATCAAAATACTGAGAAAATCGCCTTTAAAGTTGTCCAAATTAAGTTCTTAGCAATGCATATTACTAATCAAAAATTAAGTTTTGATATATTTATGGTAGGAAATTTACAAAATATCTTCATGGAACATGATCTTTACTTAATATCCTAATGATTTTTGGCATAAAAGAAAAATCGATAATTTTGACCCATACAATGTATTGTTGGCTATTTCTACAAATATACCCGTGTTACTTATGACTGCTTTTGTGGTCAAGGGTCATAGTAAATTGCAAGTAATTTAGATTTTTAAGACACTTCTCTTTTTCAATTGCTTAAAAGGATTGAAATAAAATCTTTTAAATGCCACAAAACAATATTACATATTTAATTATTAAATATCACATTATTACACTAACACAAAATAAATATTATTAACATCAAAGTTAAATTGTCAGCACAAGACTTCTGATTTTCTGTTCAATTGATAAGAAATCTAGGCCTATTATAATACGCAATAATAAATCATAAAACAGGCTTATCACTGCCGGAATGTTTTGTTCTATTGTAAATCATTTGTAGTCATACAGTAAGTGGCATCTCTGAAAATTAGGTTAGATGAATTCATAACTCACCTACTAAGTGATTCCCCACCTATAATCAATCATTCAAACACACACAGATGATGATAAATCTGTCTTGATCTTCATGGGAATTGTCTTAATAGTTCTTATTAATAGCTACCTAAATAAGTATTGAGACACTACTAAATTTGAACAAAACACAAAAAGCAGAAAAAAAGGGTATAAGAGTAAAGCTTTCAAATGTTCAGGTTTATATAGAAACACTTTATTGAAAGTGTAAGATAAAAGCAAATAAAAAATCCTTTCAAACTGTTACAAAGTAGAGAAAATACTTCAGTTTGATATGTGTGTACAAAACTATAGTTTTGTCATAAAAGCTTGTTTACTGGCCATTTCATTTGAAACATAACAACAAGTACTTCATTATGATTTGTTCAGAAGGCATGCACAACAAACTCCTCATAGAAAAACAACTTTACCCCAATTCAATCATCATGCTATTCAACTGACATCATCATTTTATAAATTCCAAATACCTCAGATTAGACGTATTTTGAAAATTGCACTTAAATTGTGAAATCATTCAAGTGCAGTCTGAACAGATGCACAGTGGTTTGGCAGCTGCTGACTGAATTGGGCACTTCACGAACACACTAAATAACAGATATTTAAGATGAACACTCACTCATAAATGCACAAACTTATGGCTTCACTTGATGAGTACAACAAACTTGGCATAAACAGAACATTTTAAGTAACCACACACTTAACATACATACATATCCAGATGTAAATATCAGTGCAATCAAAGTGTAGCTCATGAATCTGGTCATTCTGGCACCTCCACCATATTAAAAGAACAAAGCTGCTCTTGTTTCAATATATTTCTACCATAATGCCACATTTTTTTACATTAAAAATACATTTTACAACAAAATACATTTACCTGTATTTTGTCAAGATTGCAAAAGTTTTTCAGAAGTGCATTATTGAATAATATCCTGAACATTGGTCACTGAAGACGGAAGACATTTGCATCAAGTTCCTTCACGCCGTTCTCCATGTCTACGTGCGGACAGCGTTGGTTTTATGAAACGACCTGCTGTGCCAATAGTCAGGGTTATCAAAAGCTTTACGTTCCATCCCTGCATGAACTTTTAAATATTCTTCCGGCCCCGGTCTCCGGGGTTCATCCGTCAGCCCAACACTCTCCTCATCTTCTCCCTCCAGATTCTGATATTCAGCTGCAGATGCTCCACCTGCAGCCAATGAGTCCATATCCTCATATTCATACGAGGCTGGCGGTTAGTGTACTGATAGTCTTCCTCCACGTATTCGTCTTCATCGTCTTGTGGCGATCTTCTGAGAGGAGGATGGGAAACCGGTCTTGGGAGGTGAAGTTTGAGTACCATGTTGGATGGTGGTCCTGCACCACCACGGATGTCCATGTACTCGTACTGAACCTCGTGGAGATCCAGATCGCCGTCTGTGTACTCTGCTTCACTGGACAGCAAATCACCGTCGCTGTGATTCCTTTGGTCAGTCGAGGACTGGGAGAGACCACCGCTACTTTCGGAGCCCTCGATCGACGATCTCTTACTGGGTCTGCTAGACGCTAGAGATTTGTGATTGCTGTACAAGCCGGCAGGGTTGAAGGAGGCGCTGCGGTTGCGTGGCTGATTGTAATCTTTAAGCTGCCCTGGTATATGCCCGAGAGAGAGGGTCTGGTTGTTCATATACTCGTATTCTTCACCTGCAACACTGTGGGCCTCCAAACAGTCGCCGGAGTGGCCTCTTGAGAGTCTCCTCTGAGAACGTTTTGCACGTGACGATGTGAATAGAAGAGTTTCTAAAAAAAATCAAAATACAAGAGATGTGTTAACATGAGTATGCATATTTATGGAAGCTGATCAAAGAAAATAAATAAATAAAAAATTGCAAATTTAATGTAATTGCAACTTTTTCTCGAGATTTTTAATGTTTTTGAAATAAGTCTGTTATGTTCACAAAGGCTGCAATAATTAAAAAATTATAAGATATGCTACATTTTTGAATGGTAGTGTGTCATACACAGAGCCATTCAAAGCCA